GGACGGCGTTTAGGTTCGAGTGAAGTCTTCTGATGTAAGCATTTCTGTGCATCAAAAGGTTGTCTGGTATAGGTCACTTAAAGCGATAAGACCGCCCATTCTGCTACCTTAATTCTCCGATGTATTTTAATTTTTGCTGCTCTATATTTTTGGTGTGTAGTAAAGTGTAATTGTTTTGAGTGGAGAATATACCCAAGCAGCATGCAAGCTGTATACTACGAGCTGTATTGGAGTTCCTTTTTATACTAAAGGCTGCATTTACTGGCTGAACAAAGGCTGTATAAGCGCTTATACAGTTCTAATAAGGAAAAATTGGCATAAATTATACAGTTTTATGCGTTAATAGCGCTGTACAGTAGCTGTACAAGCATAAAAGGGGCTCTATAATAGCTGTATTATAGCTGTTATTTGGTGTACAAGGAAACTATTACACTACAAATATTATCTTATAAGTATCTTTTAAAGATAAACGTTCTAAATTGGTGTTTGAACGGTATCACAAATGAATTTAAGCCAAAAATAACTTAAGATTTATTTATATACTTTATTGAATGATGGCTACATTTAGTGTACAACACTTTTATCCCTTCTTAACTTTATCTCATTAAAATAATAATATTTTAAGATGTAACCGTGTTTTAATAATTTTGTTGTTTTATTTTATGGACAAGGACAAAAAAGTGTTTACTTCTTTTAAGACGGAGACTATATAAAAATACACAGACAAAGTTAATAATCATTTTTGTACCAACCTTAATCCATCGATTTAATCGAAATGATTGTATTAATTGGCAATAAATTACTACCCTTTGATTCAGTTAAATTCACAAACCAAACCAAAAATATGACTACCTTTAGCAAATAAATATTACCTATACATCTTTTCTTTCTAATGTAAAAGTGGAGTAAAGAATTAAAGCTATCTCTTTCCTTGTTTCCAAACAATATTAAGGAAGGTACATTTTATGACAGAATATCTTATCTCGCTCAACGGTAGGGTACCAGTACGAGCATGCTGTTTATTTTGTTATTGTGTTTAGTTGATAGGTAACTCCTGGCGCATACGCATGCCGCGTTCTAGTCATTCGCTCACGTCGTCATACTCTTATGTCACATAGGTACGGCAAAATCAAAAGAGTTAGCTAACTTATTGTGAAGTAATTTTACTATGTTGTGAATCTTATATTGGTTTTATTTTACTTTTTAGGAAAATATGCCGTTTAAAATTTTGAAAACCATAGAGAAAGGGAAAAATTGCCTTTTCATTGTACCAAGTTTATGGCAATCAAAAGGCGTTTTAAGATTGCCAAAAAAGCGATTAGATGCTAATATATCTAGGTAATAAAATCTAAAATTTAAAATTGTAGCTAAATTATTTAAAGCTACTTGAGATATATTTCTTTATGTGGCCCAATTCTTTATTTGCTGGCTAAATAATAGATATTTTGAAAATTCGCTGTTATCATCATTTGAACTACTTGTGCTGCTGCATAATAAATCATAATCAGGTGCCGAAAACTAAGTTACATTTGATATAACTGTGATCATGATTAACACTGTTTAATGTTTTTGTTACAGACGTGACTTTGAGGAGGGATATAAAAGCCAGCATCAAGATATTTTAAAAGTTATATGTTGTCCCCAGTACCTCTAAAACAACCAAACAAAGGCAAAATTTGAAACAAATATTATCGATTTAAACAAATTATATATCTCAAAATATCGATATCGATATTTATCTAAGAGTATCGTATTCGCATTAATTTCAATATATTTTAAAATATTGTATTAATCGAGAAATCTTTAAGCAACAAAATCATCTACAAAAGCATTTACATGCTGTTGTCGTTTTTTTCGTCGTCCAACCGTACAGGAATAAAATTTTGGGCCTTATCCTAATACATCATGCAAAACATGACGATATATCGATATTGTATACGGGAATATATCGATACTGTTTAAAATACTGATACGATATACACTACCGGCCAAAAGTTTAAGACCACACTTAACATAATTATCTATAAATTGTAACGAAATCCCATAAGATAAATAAAAGAAATGTACACCTGCATATTCTATTGTTAATATCGAATATCTAAAGAAGTCATTCTTTTATTTACTTTCAAGTTATTGTACAAAAACATGTATTGTTTTCAAACACTGACAAAAGCTGCGTTAGAGCCAGGTGGTAGAGTCGTAATAATATTTTTATGATGGCCTAATTACTAATTGCTTTGCTTTTGTTTTCCATTGGTCAATAATTAGGATCATTTAGTTCTAAAAACACGTGTTTCCGACTTATTATTACCTGAGTTTACATGGTTTTGTTCACAAACAATCTCAATTAGTCTAAACTTGTGGTTTCTACAGTGATACGTCTTAAAATGGGAAAATCACGCGAAATTAGCAGTGAAGTGCGTTCTGCCATCGTTGTTTTACATAATGAAGGCAAATCCGAACGTGACATTGCTTTACAATTGAAGTTTTCGAAGACTGGTGTTTATGGCACAATAACTAACTCTACAGGGACAGGCATTTTTCAAGATCGTCCACGCTCGGGAAGGTCGAGAGCTAACACGTCAAGTGAAGATCATTGTTACCAGCAAGCGAAATAGACGCGGAAATCCGCGTTGAAGTAAACAAAAACTGAGTTAAACCATTGACTACAGTAAAACGGCGACTGAGAGATGCAAAATTGTATGGCCGTGTCGCATTTCGAAAACGTCTGCTAAGGCCACAAAACAAGAAAAAACTGATGCAATGGGTACTTGCCCATCGCCATTGGACTGAAGAAGATTTTAAAAAAGTTCTTTGTACCGATGAATCCAAGTTTGAGCTATTCGGTTCAGAACGAAGAATTTACGTTCGACGCAGTGACCAAGAAAAGATGATGCCAGACTGTAGTCCCAACAATCAATCATGGTGGTGGCTAAATTATGGTCTGGGGTTGGTTTTCTAGCCAAGGAACAGGCGATTTGATCAAAATTGACGGAATTATGAAAAATAAGAGTACAAAAAAATTTTAGAACGATTTCCGTTCCTTCGGGTTTGCGATTAATTGAAGATTGATTCATTTTCCAACAGGACAATGATCCTAAGCATAGCTCAAAATTATGCAGAAGATATTTAGAAGAGAAAGAGGCACAAGGGGTGTTAAAACATGGTTTGGCCTCCTCAGAGCCCGGATCTCAATCCCAATGAATTTTTGTGGGAAAAGCTTGATAGGAACGTCCGTAATTGTGGTCCATCCTCGCGAGAAGAAATGTGGAATGCTTTGTGCGAAAGTTGGAGCAATATATCACAAGACACTCAATAAATTGATTGCCCGTATGCCAAGACTTGAGAAAAAAGTCATATAATGTAAAGGAAGACTTTTTGATGAAAAATTAGTTTAGCTAACTATAGCCTTGGACTGTTATTATATTTATTTACGCTTTTCAAATCATGGACTGTTTATTTATTTACGCTTTTCAAGTATATTGATTGTCAAAAAATCTGTAAAGCTGTCATAAAGAAGGAAGACAACACAAAACAGTTAATGAAATTATAATTCCATTGACAGAAAACTGTCCAATTGGGTAGTTCTTTCCCGGCAATCCTACCATTTTTTCTCGCTAATCTATACAGGCTTGTTTGTGACATTATCATTTACAGAGGCAAAGACAATAACGCTGATGCAAACGGATTTTATTAAGACGAATCAATCATGCTTAAACTCACTGAATCTAAATATTTTCATCATCATCGTCGTCATCGTCATCATTACAGTCCTACAGAAATCCACTGCTGAACATAGGCTTGCCCCAAGGAATGCCACAAAGCACTATTCTGAGCCATCTGCATCCTTTGACTTTCTGCAACCGCTATTTTACAACGATTAAATTGGCTGACCAACTAGAACAGCGTTAAAAACTAAAATGTACAGGAACATTAATGATAAATAGAATACTAGCGGAAGTATGAGAAAGAACCGAAGATGATAAAGAGCTAATAAGGAAGGGAAGAGGAAGCCATGATGTGCTCGTGAAGAAAGATGGAATGATTGTCATTACAAATGACTTGGTTTGATAGCAATCCTGTAATAATGCTGTCCACTATTCACGCTGCTGAAAAACTCGACTAGTATAGAAAATGTGAGAGGAAGAAGTTTGTACAAATTTCACGGCCTGAGGTCATAACAGAGAACAACAGTAAAATGGGTGTTGTCTTGGTTGACTAGTTAACGGCTGTATGCCCGGCGAAAGCTCGTACAAAGAAATTACAGTTCCATTTGTTTCACATTGCATTTATCTAGCGGTTACCAATGTATGCACATAATAAATCGCGCAAACATAAAGTTCGACCAAGAACAAATTAAAAAAGGAGTACACCACCACAAAATAAATCAGAATTAAAAAAAAAACAGATAGCTAATAAAAAATGTGCGTGCGTCAATCAACCTCTCTGGTGATAGACGCATGCACATTTTTTTTATTTACTAACTTTCTGCGTGATTATCCCTTCCCTTTATGTACGAAAGGTCTTAGAAACGATCATATTATACGAGTATTATATTGCATAGTCTGCCAACCGAATGGCATCTCCTTCGTGGGTTTTCGGCGGGCACTTGACCTTTATGAATTACTGGTCCTGTATTGTTGTTTAAATATTGTTTTTTTAACCGAATTCTTAAAAGGAATAACTTCCAAGTCGAGTACTTGTCCAAATTACGAATGGTACTAGGTCATAATGAAAAAAGAAAAAAATTGAGCGTATAATTGTGTAGACACGTACGAAGTGCAACTTCTTTGCGACTTATCATTCTTTTATTTAATATTTTACATAAAGAGGTCAAATATAAAGTATACTCATGCTGCCCCGGCGGTGAAATATCACAAGAAAATGTGACTATTTTAACTAAATTTCTCCACTACGTCGATAAAGAACTATCACTTCAAAAACCTCCTTCACTGTTTATATGCGTAGATTAGGACATCAAAAATAAAATACAAAAATTAAGTAAAAGACAACTTTATTTTCACGCAGCCGTATCCGAAGGCGTTTTGGCAGTCTTGTTTTTGTTTGGTTTCCTGATTTGCGGCAACTTGAGGTGAACTGTCCGTATGTGTAGCTTTAGAGAGTTGGATTGAGTGAAGCGTTTGTCACATTGAGTGCATGCGTACGGTTTTGCGCCTGTATGAACCTGCGGTATAATCATATTTCAAATTATAATTTCTTTTTATAGGATAAGGGTGATAAACGAACACACAGTCCACCTCATAGTAAAAGGTTGCTGTGGCTCATAGCAGATGCGTTTTCAGCCGTGAGGACTAAGATAGAATGCCTCGTTTCGAGTAAAAAGGGTCTACGGTTCACTACACTCACCATACGAAAGCACAGCAGTATTGAGATGCTATTTTACGCTGGTATTCTGTGGAGAGCATGGTCATATAATAAATAGAGGCTAATGAATAGACTAGTGGGGTTAGCCAATTTGACTTTCTACAATCATTAACGCTAATAATTAACAACAAATAAGAATGAAAGACTTTTTTTACTGGAAACGAGGCATTCCATCTTAGACCTCAGGGATGGAAACACATCTACAATTTGATTATTTATCGAGGATAGATGAAGATGTATATGGGCCTCAGTAACCAACATGCCAAACGTGAGAACTGTGTGCCCGTTTGTCACCCTTATTGTATAAACATAACGATAACGCCATCGCCTCGTGAATATCAAGTGACTAAAGGTTGGGGTATGTCACTCCCACTTATATGATTATATACAGATCATTACGATTGTCATGGAAATATTCCGGCTTCGAATTATTTCAAAATGAAAGAATTGAATTTAAATGAATGCAACAGATATGGTTATTACCATCCTGAATGTTATTTCTAAGAAACTTTATGTTAACCAGAAGATAAATATTGTAATACTAGTGTATACTGAGATGCCTTATTGTTCGATCGAGCCGGGCTATGGCGTGACAAATAACGGACTCTCCGCCTACTCAGAAGAGCCTCAGCCGTCAACTAGCTCTGCCAAGGAACTGGATTTTCAGAAGCACGTGATGATCGATAAGCGAATATAATACAAACTCAGAGACAGCTTCCTTTTATTCAAATTTAAGATTCGCATTTAAAATTGCTAATAGACACTGGCGCGAATAAGTCCGGAAGCCGTTGAAACTTTTTGTTCCAATTAAATTTTGATCCTTTCGAGGTCACCAACGTACACACAATTACAATTATTCCAGCCGTATACCGTTTTAGAGAAATTCAGGAATCCGAAAATATTAAATTGATTTGCTGGAAAATTGGGAAGCGAAAATAGTATTAAGAAACAAATTTTATAACACGAAAGAAGGATGCCCATTTTTCACCTAACTATGTATAGAAATGAAATAAATCTTAAAATTCAGCTAATTGAATTCTTAACTAAGTACGCGTATCACAATGTTAAAAGAAACGCAGGAGAAAAATATTTTTAATATTTATTTATACTTATTCTACGTCAAGGGTAAACTTATTACCACCATATTTTGAACGCATCTCAACTATCCTTTTTCTAAGACGTTCCATTTCACATACTTCGCATTTCGCTACTTGACTTAATTGAACTCTGTTTCTGAGTTTTAAACATTTATTTTATTTAATCAGTATTTCTCTATATTATATATATATATATATATATATATATATATATATATATATATATATATATATATATATGTTCGCGCTAAACGCTAATTTCAAGAACGAACACAAGAGGGCGCGCGGCTCAGTGTCATACCGGTTTGACATTCGGTCGTGCGTAAAACGCCCAAGGGCAATCAGTCATCTTTAAGCAGTGCTAACGATTGGCACACTGTCATTCTTGTCGGGAACTCGGAATAATTAAGCGCGGACAGTAAAAATACGGTCTAGGATTTGTGGCGCGCATCCCTACTGGAGAGCTTCCCCGGGACACATTGTGTCTGACTCGAATCTGCATAAGTGCATTCGGCAATATTAGCTAGTGCGGCCTCTGATATTCTAGAACTAACTGTTGCAACGCGAAACGGTAGCGACCTTTGATCCAGAAACTCCGTGTGCATTTTGTGCGGTAGCCTTATACCCCGCGATAGTTAGTGGCTTCTATAAGTTAGTTAATCGCACGATAGAGTTAATTGACTGTCATCGTGACAAACGAGGAAAGTGAATGTGGACAACGCCTCGGAGGGCCCCCGCAAGTTGGAGCGGTGTCGACGCCCGGGCTGCTGCCGACGGCTAAGGTCTAGGTTCAGTCACACCCAGATACATATCACATCACCTTCTTTCCCTTGTACTACACAACCACATGCGACCTGACCGACTCCGGAGGGACCAGTCGCCTTGGATATAGGTAAGTAAGCTACGTCCAAATTCCTTCCGGTCGACTGGCCGTAGTATAACGCTCCCCCATATATTTTAGTGTAATTAGAGAGATTCCACGTGGCCACATTGAGGCCCGACCTACGTCTGCTCGGGAAGTCTTCAGCTCATGGGCCCCTGAGGATTTGACCCTTTAAGGGAGCAGCCGTAGGCCGTAACAATATATATATATTCCTTTTTATATATATTTCTTTATTACTTTTTGTATAGTACAGATTAATTAAAAATAAAATAATAACGAATAAATAAATAATGCAGTATGTCATTGAGTGCACACGAGTGAAACGGATTTTTTGACATTTCGATTGACATCGGCGCAGTCCTTCGTTGTTGCCAAAGAGAATATAATTACTTGTTGTGTTTGCGTCTCGTTGTGTATTGTGCCATTTTGTGTGTTTTTCATATATCATATAGAATAGAAATATGTAGGAATACACAAGATTTTTCTCAGTATAATCTCAGAGAAAGTGGTGATAGAACATTCCTATCCTAACCTAAAGAGTAAAATTAATATTTTTGGGCTTCGTAGCGTTTAAATCGTAAAGCTGACTACATGACATTATTTTCTAAACTTACAGGAAGTTTTTCTACTATACCTTATAACTATACATAAATTTTTACTATCAGGTTTTTAATGTATGAAAAGTGGGCATGGTTCTTTTACTAATCCTATAAATATGCACAATGCGACAGATCTCGCTCGGAGACACGTCACCAAGGCGTTTGAAACGCCCCTTCCCTTGATGTAGGCGTTTCCTCAACAGAAACAGGGCTTCTGGGATTCCGACCACCTAGTAATTAACCCTGGGTCACAGCATCCATTTACCATCAGGTAGAATGTGTGCTCGTTTGTCACCATTATTCTATAAAAACAAAAAATATCCCCGGGATCTCTCATATACGTTAAAGTTGATGGCATTAGCCGGAGGAATCTGGCATAACTTTTCTGTCGCCGTCGGAGTAAAGGATATCTCTGAGGATTTTCTGGTGATAAAAAGGCGTATATGATATGTACGTGTTATGGTTAACATGCAGTAGCGGAGTAAGAATATCCACTACCCCATATCATTCTGTGGGTGTCGTAAGAGGCGACAGAGGGAAACAGATCAGGAGATGGGCAGCAGCATCTTCCTAATAACAACTAAAAATAAAAAACTGCGGGTTGACAACCTGCTTCCTAAGCGTGGCATCTATTACAAATTGATGTATGTGTCAATTTATGAGGGAGGCCTATGTTCAACAGTGGACTTTAAATAAGCCGTAACGAATATTTATTCGAATAGACTAGGTTCGGAAAAAGCCTTGCTCGCCAAACGTGGGAACTATGACAAATGCCTCCCGTATGAAGCAATCTCTGGGGGATGTCTGTGTGTCTACTGAAGTAGAGTTTAATAGGCTGTAACGGCAACGGTGTGATGGTGAAATGGAAGCGTGTTTGCGTGTGATGTGCACTGACCCTGAGGTGGCAGTTGAGCGAGGGCTTCTGGCTGAAGCGCTTGCCACAGGTGCGGCAGACGTACGGGCGTTCGCCGGTGTACGTGCGCGCGTGCACGTGTGTGTATGTGTGTGCGTGTGATGTGCACTGACCCTGAGGTGGCAGTTGAGCGAGGGCTTCTGGCTGAAGCGCTTGCCGCAGGTGCGGCAGACGTACGGGCGTTCGCTGGTGTGCGTGCGCGCGTGCACGTGTGTGTATTTGTGTGCGTGTGATGTGCACTGACCCTGAGGTGGCAGTTGAGCGAGGGCTTCTGGCTGAAGCGCTTGCCGCAGGTGCGGCAGACGTACGGGCGTTCGCCGGTGTGCGTGCGCGCGTGCACGTGTGTGTATGTGTGTGCGTGTAATGTGCACTGACCCTGAGGTGGCAGTTGAGCGAGGGCTTCTGGCTGAAGCGCTTGCCGCAGGTGCGGCAGACGTACAGGCGCTCGGCGGTGTGCGTGCGCGCGTGCACGTGTGTGTATGTGTGTGCGTGTGATGTGCACTGACCCTGAGGTGGCAGTTGAGCGAGGGCTTCTGGCTGAAGCGCTTGCCGCAGGTGCGGCAGACGTACGGGCGCTCGCCGGTGTGCGTGCGCGCGTGCACGTGTGTGTATGTGTGTGCGTGTGATGTGCACTGACCCTGAGGTGGCAGTTGAGCGAGGGCTTCTGGCTGAAGCGCTTGCCGCAGGTGCGGCAGACGTAAGGGCGTTCGCCGGTGTGCGTGCGCGCGTGCACACGCATGCGCGCGCGCACGGCGAAGCGCGCGGGGCAGTGCGGGCAGCGCACCGGCCGCTCGCCCGTGTGCGTACTTTGATGATATCGAAGCGCCGCCGCTGACTATGAAGTTCAATAATAATAATATTATTTATTTTATTTATTTATTTATCTTCACGCACAATCCCTGACGGGGTAGCCAGAGAGAACAGATCGCCAAGTGTCACGATCCTTACATACCTCTTTCGCTTCTTTCAGATTCATTATCTTCTTCATACATGCACGTCTAGGTATCCGAGTACTCTTGACCCTCCCCTCTTCGAGCAATTTGCTCACATGATCTTCGAAAGTTAGTCTCGGTCTACCTCGACACCTTTTAATATTAACTTTCGCGCTATATATTTTCTTCACCATTCGGTCTTCACTCATTCGCTCAACGTGCCCAAACCATCGAAGTACGCCCTTATCAATTTTTGTGATAAGGTCATCTTTCAAACCTGCCATATTGCGATTCTCTTCGTTTCGCTTTCGGTCGGCCATGGTAACGCCGCACATTTTACAAAGAGATCGCATCTCCACTGCATTCAACTTGCTTTTATGCTTCTTCTGGCATACCCAGGTTTCGCTGCCATATAACAAAGTCGGTACCAACACTGCGTTATGTATTGCAAGGCGTGCACTCTTCACTATGCCTTGCCTTTTGATTAACGCAGTCAGGGCATCATTGACTTTGTTCCCGGCAGCGACACGCCTGTCCATATCTAAATCACATCTTCCATCCCGGCTAAAAGCACTCCCCAAGTATACAATTTCATTTACCTATTCTAGACATTCCTGATTTACCTATATTTCACACTTCGTTCTCTCTTCGTCCCTTTCAAATACCAGAACATTAGTTTTATTAGAATTCAAACGGAGACCTTTAATTTCACATTCCTCTTTCATACACGTGACTAATGCCTGCAGTTCTGCCTCTGATGGTGCAATAAGCACTGCATCATCAGCATACAGCAGACAATTTACTTTAATGTCACCCAATTTCACACCCAAACAGCTATCTTTCAGCTTCTGTAAACAGCTGTCGAGATACAGTATGAACAGCCAGGAAGACATGACACAACCCTGTTTTACGCCTGTTTGGACGCTAAACAGGTCATGCTCTACACGCACACAGGCTTTACAGTAACAGTAAAGTGACTGCACAGCCCTTAGCAATCGACCATCCACACCATACCCCGGCAACAGTTCCCACATTTTCTTCCTTACAACCTTATCAAATGCTTTCTCAAGATCCACAAAAGCACAGAAAATCTTCGGGTTAGCAGCCAGAAGCTTTTCCGTGATCATGCGGAGAGAAAACATTTGATCCGTGCATCCTCTTCCAGGTCTAAATCCGCATTGTGCCTCCCATAGAAATCTTTCCGATTTCTCTTGCATCCTACGTGTCAAAACCTTCGAGTAAACTTTACTTGCTAAACTGGTCAAGCTGATCGCCCGATAGCACCCGCAGTCAAAATGTGGAACCTTTACCTTTATATAAAGGTACAATGACTGCGGATCGCCAATAATCCGGGACATCCCCCGTCCGCCAGCACAAATTACACAGCAGATGAAAGCTGTCCCAAACGCGAGGCCCACCATACTTACCATTTCAGCAGTTACTCTGTCTAGTCCCGCAGCCTTACCACATTTCAAACTTCGAATCGCACGTTAAATCTCTTTCATACTGATGACCTCAGTGTCATCGAGGTCCGGGTCTGGCGTACTAGTCACGGGGTCACCCCCGGATCCCTCACTAAGATCATCACACGCAAACATTTCTCTATAAAATTTGCTCCATCGCTGCATGACGTCCGATTTTTCTGAGAGGACGTCATTGGTTCTCGAAAGCACTTTGTTCATTCTTAAGGCCGTCGCACCACTTCGGGTCCTTCCAACCTCTTTCCAGAAGAGTTTGGAGTTCTCTTTAAAGTTGTGCGACAACCTTTCGTCCGCTTCCATTCTACACCTTTACCTTCCGCTGCACTTACCATTCCATCCCTAAGGTGCTGCCATGTTCTTTCCACACATTCTTTTCTGCCATCGATGGTGTCAAGCTTTTCGGCTACCCTCGCATGATATTTGTCCCTAGTATCCGCTTCCTGAAGCTTCCAGCTTCGGATGCGACTGGCCGACTGTGGTTCTGTTACTGCCGTCCGGTAGCGCCAACCCGCGAACAAACCCCTAAATCTAGTAATCACTAGATAGTGATCCGTTCCCAGGTCAGCACCCCTGAACACGCACGTATCCATCACCTGTTTTCGCAGTCGGTCATCCACCAGGAACAAATCGATCATACTTCTCTCATTCTTTCGTTCTCTAGTATACATATGGATTTTCTTGTGATTAAACATAGTGTTTGTCACAAGAAGACCCTTTTATTGACTTTTTCTTGACCCTAGTGCTAGCGTCCTGCGCCGCCAGGTACTTTCAAATGAATGTTCGAGAAATGCGCCCAGTGCAGCGCAAGAGCAAGTCGCGCGCGGTTGTGTCACGGGAAGTCAGTGAAGTGCATGGACTACAACTGTAGCCCGCGCGACCAAAGACGTAAGTATTCTTGTCATAATGAATTATTTCGTTTTTATCTATTTTGCAGTAAAATTAACTGAAATGCTTTATTTAAATTTTGTTTATTGGTTCGGATTATTGTTACATAATGTAGCTTTATGTTTTTAGGATATAAATGGTTTATCGACGAGATGCACAGATTGAGGCATGGCTGGCTGAGATTGTGGGCGAAATCGAAACTTATGAAGCTGAGTCAAGCTCCGACGAAGAAGTAGATCATCTAGAAGAGCAGGACCATCAATCGGAATCCGAGCAAGAGCAGGAGATTCCAGGCGAGATGTTGGACGAAAGCTCTGAAGATGATGAGCTGTCTCAGCGACGCCGGCACACAGATTTTTACTCCGGAGTGGACAATACGTTATTGTCAAAAACAGTCATGAACAGAGGAAGAACACGAAGACATATTATAGTATTCCCTTAGGCCCACTAAGGGAACAGCTCGAGAAAAAACCAGTATTGAAGACTGTATGTCGCTTTTTTTGATGATCAGATAATCGGCCTTATTACTAAATACACTAATAAGAAAATAGACCATATCAAGGACAAATATACAAGAGAACGAGATGTTAGACAAACAAATGAGATTGAAATCAGAGGCTACATTGGGATTTTACTAATGGCTAGAGTAATTGGGAGAAGATCTAGTACTGCCCAAATATTTAAACACGTAAAACACACAGGTATCGACGCAATATATTTTACTATGTGTGAACAAAGGTTTAAATTTCTGACAAGGGTTTGACGCTTTGACGATATTGAAGACCGCCAAACTAGTGCAAGCATTGATAAGCTAGCGCCTATTAGAGATATTTTTGAATTGCTGCTTGCGAATTTTCAAAAGTATTTTGTTCCAAGTGCGGAAATGACATTGGATGAACAGTTGATAGCTTTTCGAGGCCGCTGTTCTTTCAGGCAATACATTCCCAGCAAACCTGCAAAATATGGAGTGAAAATTTTTGCCCTTGTTGACGTTCATTATCCTTATACGTTCAATTTAGAAATATATGCAGGCCAACAACCAGAAGGTCCATTTCGCTTGAGCAACGAAAGGCATGACATTGTTATGAGGATGGCACAGCCTGTGCTTGGCAAAAACATGAATATCACCACGGATAAGTGGGTTTCTTCACTTCGCGTTGCAAAACAGCTTTTTGAAAACGGCACAACTATGGTCGGCACAGTACAAAAAGACAAACGAGAAGTTCCTCGGGAATTTCGTGTCGCAAGAGGAAATCCATTATGTTCTTCTAAATTTGGGTTCCACCCACCATGCACACTAGTATCGTACGTGCCAAAACCAAATAAAGTTGTCATCTTGATGTCAACGATGCATAACGATGCCACAATTGATGCTGACTCTGGAGACAGTCGAAAGCCAGAAGTAATAACTTATATTACAATAGTGGATAAATTTTTTCATTATATGACATTTCGAGAAACTCTAGAACATCGGTCAGCAACAGGCGGACCGCGGTCCGCAAGCGGACCGCGAAAGGTCGAACCTCGGACCGCCAAATATTGTAATGTATTGCATACCAAGTATAAATTAATACGTAGATAAGGTATACTTTACCTTTATTAATTAAAATAATATTTTTAAGCCACATAGAATTTAACTTAGTACCTGGTTAACCTGTTTTACAAGTACCTACAACTGATATGGTTTAATTAGTTTCCTATCTAGCGATTTGTGCGAATTAGTTGTAACTGATGTGATTTAAATATTTTTAAATCTTTGTTACGCACACAAAACATCCATACATTGAATTACGTACCATTTTTACGGAAATATGTGCGAGAGCGTTTCACAGCGTCCCGCGTGCTTACCTAACTGCGGCGCGCTTGCGACTAGGCTTGGGCAAAAAATATCGATATTTTTAAATAAATAATCGATATATATATCGTCGATATTTTATTTCGCGATATTTCGATATAGAGTTAGAGTATCAAATTCGTATCAATTTCGATATATTTTAAAATGTTGTATCGTTTTTTTCGTCGTCCAACCGTCAGGTAATAAAATTTTTGACCTTATCTTTACATCATGCAAATGTTGGCGATATATCGATATTTATCACGCGATATATATCGATACAGTTTAAAAATATAGATTCGATATATATCGATATATTTTTTCCCTTGCCCATCCCTACTTGCGACTGTTTTGTTTTGTTGAAACAAGCGCCAGCGAGTATCCAAATCGGGGGTCCGGGCGTGTGGGCGGGGGAAAGCAGATTGCCAGTCGCCAGTCGTTCAGTCGCAGCGCAAACCGCGGAGCAACGGTTTATTTGTTTTGTGATTTGTTGCGTTTTTGTAACATTTTCATACCTACGCTAATATGGATCCTAAAAAGCGTAAAGTGGACAGTGAAAATAGGAGGTTTCTAGCAGAATGGACTGAACAATATTGTTTTACGCTGCCTGATAGGCCTCAAGCGGTTTCAGTGTGACTTATATGTAATAAAACTGTCGCTATTGTTAAAATTGGCAATTTGAAGCGACACTACGAAACAACTC